ACAGCGATTTCACTAGCTTCAATAGCATACACATGAAAGAGTACACAAAGAGGGAGGGGGACAAAATCAATGCTAATGTGCAGAATTAATATGTTAGTGAAAACAAATCATTGCTAGATACAACTCCCGCAACTCTTATCAATATTTTCAGTTACCCCAGATTCCTGCCACTATAATCAGGACAAACAGAAAAACATAACTAATGTATGCTAAAAAGGACCAGAACACATACACTAAAACTGTTTCTACCTTTCTGATAGCACAAACAAAATATAAACTTTTAGTGCTTTCAGTTAGAACATACAATTGAATTACGCTGCTAATTTGCAAGCAAAACTAAATGTAAACTACATTTGGATCCTAGCACATTGTAGGCTGTACAATGGAATTTGGAATGTTGACAGCTATACACTATAGCCTATCACATTGTAGGCTATACACTATGTTCCTTCAACTGATACAGAATGCGATGTCAAATTCGTTTTACAATTATTTAAGCAACCAAAAGTCAATAACTACCAAAGTGCTCCAAGCAAAACACTATGCTTCTAAAATGAGCAGCTGTTGCCGCAAAACATTCCCATAGCTTACTCGCTTTGCACCAGCACGAGCACAGAACACAGAGAAGTATTCCAGTCCCACACCCCACATCCAGCAAGATGTCAGAACCCAACGTGGTTGACACGTGGCTTCTTCTGATTGGGCGCGGCGGCGGCAGTCTATGACAGGCGGGGTCAGGTCGCCAGGCATCGTTGACCGGGCTCGGACTGGGCTCAACGGGCCGTGCTATGGGCCGGCTCCGGGCCGGTCTGTGCCGGCTGGCCCGGACACGTGTCGCATTCAGGCGAGGCCACGTGGCGACCACTGGCCTGGTGCGGCTCACGGCGCACCTACAGGCAAAGGTCCAGTGGACCGCAGAACCGGCTCATGGTGGACCAAGCTCACCTCATCCTCCTCTCTAACGGGCTCATGGTAGAACGAGTCCACCACGCGGCTGCTGCTCCTTCTCCCCCTCTTCTCTTCCTCCCACGGCGGCGCTCTCGCCGGAGGCGAGCTCGCGCGTCCGCGCGCTTCAGAAGCTCAGCGGGACAACTAAGGGGCGCTAGGGATCCGTGGGGCCACGGAGAGGGTACCGAGGGGCTAAAGGCAGGACCTTGGGGCTCCGGGCGGCCGGCGTTGGCGTCGCGGCGGACTGCGACGGCAGGCTGCTACGGGACGTCGCCAGGCTTCGGTTAAGCTCTATCAGCTTCCCCGTGCCACGACGATTGCGACCATGGGTATAGGGGCAGCGGTAGCGGCTCAGGCAAGGCCGGCCACGGTGGCGGCGGCTCGGCGGCGGCTGCGGACGACGGCGAGGCGGCTGCGGCCTCAACCGGAGCCAAAATTGGACATTTTACTTCTATTGGGGTCACTAGAGAGCCGAAGGGCTCGACGGAGATGACCAATTGGCACGACGGGGTCCGCAACGCGGCGAAGGCACACGGCGGGGCTCCGGCGACCGTGCGGTCTCGACGATCTAGGGCAAGGCGGGCTCTTTCTTCTCATCCGACTATACAGCGGGGTTCGATAGGTCATGGAAAAGCTCAAAGGACCCTCCTATACACGCTAGGTGGACGGAGTCGGTGGGAACGTCTTCGACACGGCGGCGCTCCGCGGACGGCCGCGCCGGCGAGGCGGACAAGGGCTACGGCATACAGGCTCTCTACGGCCAAAAAGGTGGAGGCTTTGCACTCTACTCGACAGGGCGAGTCCATCCACGGCGTTGTCTCAAACTCTGCCGCTCCGGATCCGCCGGAACGGGGCTTCACCGCGGCGGGGTATGGCCGCGGCGAGCGCGTGCTCGTGAAGTGTGCTGGCGCAGGCGTTTCCGAGCCCAGGTGGCTCGGCGTCGCTGCGTAGCGGCCGTTCGACGTGTTGGTGGCTGTGCGGTGCCACGTGACATCGAAAGTAGGCACCTTTGGCCCTCCCAAGTGGGGAGAACACGGTGGCGGCCATGGTGGGCATGCCGGCGACGGGGCAAGAAGGGGGCAGGGCTCACCGTCGGGCTTGAGGGCGTAGGCTAGCTGTGCGGTGGCAAGGAGACACTGTGACGAGGCGGTGCAGTGCTGTGACGAGCAGCTACGCCAATGTAGCCGATCGGGGCGGCGTCTCCGGCTCCGGCAGCGGCTCCGCGGCGGCGAACGGCTCTGGCGGACGGTGCTCCTCCTTCGTCTCCTTCCCTTCCCTTCTTGTCCCTTCCTCTTGGTCTCTACGTGTGGTTGGTGAGGCCACAGGTGGCGGCGGGGTGGATGGGAGAGGGCTAGGGCACCGGAGAGGGGTTTTTATTGCCCGAGCTCACCCATGGCGGGCGGCGGACGGCGGGGGACAGTGCGGGGGACACGTGTAGGGTGATCGCGGGGCTTAGGTTAGGGTTTTGGGTCTTGCGGGACTGTGGGGGTGCCTTGGCGCTCCCATTTTCGTGCGGCAGCCGGTAAAGGGGGGCATACGGCGGTGGCAGGGCGCGGCAGAGAGGCGCTGGCCATGGCGCTCGCGTCACAGCAGGCGGGTGCCAGCTGGGGACGGCTCGGGGCGTAGCGGATCGCGGAAGTGGCTTTCATCCAGTTGCGTACGGTGCTAGGGGCAGGAACGGCTGGGGCGGGCGGGCGGCTGGCGCCGGCGCTCTGCTTTGCCAAAAGCAGAGGAGACACGCGGGGGTAGGGGGATGACAGGTGGGGCCCTCCGGTCAGCGGTACAGGGCGAGAGGGAAGGGGGCCGGGCACAGGCGAGCTGGGCCGGTTGCAGTCATGGGCCGATTCGGGCTCGCGGGCGCGAGCGGGGGCGACTGGGCCGGATGGCTGGGCTGGTTCTGCCGCTGGGCTCCTTTCCCTTTTCCTTTTTCCATCACTTTTCTTCCCTCTTTTCTATTCTCTATTCTGTACCATGGGCTCCTATATGAGTATACATGTGTTGCCAAGCATGTATACTCCCTAGTGGGGTCCACTAGAGGTCATCTAGGGTCTTGGGGGTCGAAGCCAAGGGCTGGCAACACACAAGCGTCAAGTTTTATTAACAAGGGTCAATTGATTTTATTAACAATACATAAAATCAAAAAGATGCAAATCACAAGTAAATTATAATGCATATGCTCAGCCATTCTAACTTGGGATCTACTTGTGCATCTACATAGGGTTTTCCTAGCATGTACACTCACCATGCATGGGTTTATTTTTTTAAAAATTGTGGTTGGTATTTTTGGTGTTTGGGATTTTTAGGGTTGTTACATGGGCCGAACGGCTTCTAACCCTAGAATCTCGCTTCACTGCCTATGTTTGTTGGTCCCATAGCTGTTGGGCAGAATTAGGCCTGCAAGGAGTTGTTTCCAGATTTTTTTTATTTCTATATTTTTTAAATTCGTTTTTTTATAAATATTTGTCCGAACCAAAAAAAAATCAAAACTACACTCCTGCAGCCAATTGAACTGGTGGAAATTGGCAGAATCTCCTTCTTATTGTCAGCTTATTTTTAAAAAAAATCATGACTTTTACATAACTTGGATGAATATAAAATTTATAAACTCAGATGAATATAAAATTTATATAAAAGCTATAAAAAATATATATCTACACTTTTATAGTCTATGACCTTTTCATTTGAGGTCGTTTTGATACATATAAAGTAAAAAAGTTATATCGATTATTCTGGTTGGTTTCAAACGAAAATATTGTGAACTATAAGTTTGTATATTTCATTGTTTAATTTAATACAAGTCTTATATAAATTTTTATCTTCATATATGATTGTATGACAAAGTAATAATGTTTTTTTAAAAGATGCTATATAAGGGCTAGCCGGTTTACAATATTCTCGTTTGAAACCATCTTGATACCTAGATAATCAGTTTAATATTCAGATTTACAGATAGACATCTGAATATTATATCAATTTTTAGGTATTAAGACGATCTTAAATTGAAAGTCCTAAATTACAAAGTTGTAAATATATTTTTCTATACAAAACTTGCATATAAATATTATCTTCATCCGAATTCATATATAAAAGTTATAATTTTTTAAGATAAACAGTAAAAAAGAAATTTCGTCGATTAAACCGGCGGTAGGTACTTTCCACCGGTTCTATTGGCGGTAGTAGTACAATCTTGCAATTTTTAATAATTTGATAAATATTAAAAAAAAAATAAAAAATCTTGTTTTAGCCAATGGGCCGAATATGTTCTTGTCCCAAAACAAAGAAAAAAACCTACGGGACATCCGAGTGTTTGTCGTGAGTGGTTAGCGCCCGAATTATGCGGCCTCCCATCTAGAGATGGCAACGGGTACAAATTCACTGGGTTTTGCCAACCCAAAACCAAGGTGGTTCTCTCAGCGAGGTGGGACTAATCTGCGTTGGTTGTTTGTTGTGGCTCTCTGCAGGCCTAGGCATACATGCACATGGGCAAGCCCACAAGCTATTGTGCAAGTTGGAACTCATTTCCAGAATTCCGGACAGGAGAACGTACCTACGGCAGCTACGTCTAGGAGCATTAAGGTCATCAATTATTTTTCTTTTATTTTTTTCTTATAGCTTTTACTTTTGATTTCTAAAACAACTAAATAATAATATTCTCTATTTATTTTTCTATATACAAGAAGTGGAAGTAAAATATGTACCAAGAAGGGTGAGCAAGGGTATTAAGGACTAATATGATTTGTTCGTTATGATAGATTGGGTTTAAAAAAACCAATGAGTTTGTGGGTTTGGGTACTACATCCTCGAACCCATGCCCAGAAACCCGCTAGGTATATATTTTTTGCCCATTATCAAACCCATGGGTAAAAACCCGTCGGGTTTCGTGTATCCGTTGCCATCTTTATCCCAGCATGGAGTACAATATTCTAGCTTTGAGACACGTGGCCTGTTCATAACACAACTATATTACTTTGGAGTTTGAACCATCATACATCGATATATAAATTGTTTAGTAGATATGCGATTTAACAACCAGTCTAGTATCAGAAACTAAGCTAGTTGGGCCTTGGTGCTGCCCATTCGACGTGCAAGATAAGGTTGTCGTAGCCGTATCCATTGAGCTTCTTGATAGCCCTCTCTCCATCCTCCCTATGAACAAAGTTGACGAAGCCAAACCCCCTGCTCTCTCCAGTCACCCTGTCTATCGCCACATAGACGCGGCTAAGCTGGCCAAACTGGCCGAACAGCTCTGCGAGGTCAGGGTCGTGGGCGTCCTCTGAGAGGTTGCTCACGCGGACCGAGTTCTCGTCGTTCCTGCGCCTCATCACATCCGCTCCACTTATGTCGCCACCCAGCCTCTTGAACACAGGAACATATGCTCCACTTCCACCCTTGCCAGCTGCGCCGCCAGAGTCATCGGCGCTAGGAGGCCTGTCGCCAGAGCTTTCGCCCTGCTGTGGAGCAAGATCCTTGTAGGGGCACTTTGAGGTCCAGTGGTCACCCTTCTTCCCGCAGGTTCTGCAAACCATGAGAAGGCCTCCTCCTGGTTTATCGTTTCCCTTGGCCAGTGAATCAGCGGAACTAGATGGCCCTGCTCCATCGCCGTTGTTTCCTGAACCAAACAAATGAGCAGTTAGCAAAATGAGAGCACAAAGGTACGGGGATAATACCGATGCTAAAGCAAAACATAAAAAAATTGAGAAAATTCAGAACCAATCACACTGTATATACAGAATGAAAAGGGATCTGCACTGTCAGCTATTTTACGAAGATTCATGTCACCGCTATTGTAGAATTTAGCAGTGGCTGATGTCTACTACTGAACACATTCTTTGTCGGGTATTAACAAAAAGTAAATGGCTTGGCACCACTAATTAATCATCCCCGCATTTTGCGAGTAGTCAGCTTTCCTGCCTGTCTTAGCATTCTAGCTACTAAGTGACTTCTAAAATTGCACTTCTCAAGCATGCAATTCCTCTTCTTATATTAATATATATACCGACAATGTTCATTGTCTTTCAAAAGGAAATCCAAAGTAACTAAATCCTAATGAAAAAAAACAGCCATCTTTTTTTTTTTTGAATGTGTGTTCGTATATACGTACTAACAGCAACGAGACCAGACCATTTACATGATCTGCAGAATAGCATACGCATGCAGGGTACCACACCTAACTGTATCTTCAAACCAAATACATCTACTAAACATAATAGAGCTGTCCCATATATAATTTCAGTCATTATTTTCGATTAATAATGTAAAATCAGCAGTGTACATTCGATGTGCTAAGAGAGCTTTCGGTCAAAGTCAAACACATAAAGAATAATTTTGTGCATGCTCTGTATCAAATCTACAATTATATTGCCTTAAAAATACAAACATGCTCCTTGCAGTAAAGAATGATTTTGTGCGTGCTAATCCCAACCAAAAGATCTTGACTACGATAACCAAGTTATTTCTAGACTAGAAATAATAATCCAACCAACCGATAAGCTATTCCTAGACTAGAGAGAACAATCCCAACCAACCCGATCACGTACGTTCAGGGGATCGGATACCTAGTTGATCTAACTGACTGTATAGACTACAAGTCCAAGAGCAGCAAAACCAGCATACAGCTAGATGCAAATGCAATGAAACACCAATCTGCTTGCATTGATCACATCATGCATGAACGTGCACCTATCTTGATACTATTTTATCATGAATTAAGTCGACCAAATCACCCGAATTTTGACTAAAACTAAGCATGTGCATATATAGCAACAGAAGTACAGAACAGATGAATAACCAAAACTCCAACAGAATATATATATATATATATATATATATATATATATATATATATATATATATATATATATATTGCCCCTGGTAATCGAATAATAATCAGTACCCTAGCCCGCCGACGCACTGTTGAGCCACCCAATCGGTGGGCGCTGGTCCGCTATCCCCTCTTTTTTTTGTCTTGCACCCACCTCCGTTTTTTATTTATTAATTAATAATAATTTTATTTTTTGGTTCCACTTTTAGATCGTGGGAGACGCTCATGTCCTAGATCGCCACCACCGCAGCAGACGAGCCCTCTTTCGCCACCGCACCTGAGCTCGCTGATCCCGTCCCCCGCCAACCTCGACTCAGCTCGCCGCCCTGCTCCTTGTTGGTGCCCGGTGAGCCCGCTTCACTGGGCCAGCTGGTCTGCTACCCATCTTGTTGCCTCGAGTGGCAAAGCGGTGTCTTCTCGTCTCCACCTCTGCACCTTGTTCCAATCCCTATGTTGAGTGAATCTGCGGCGGTGGTAGCGCCTTATCCGCAGCTACCATGCAATTCGGCGTCGGCCGTCCTCGCCATACTTGAGGATTCGGCGTCAGATCCATGGCATCCAGTCAGCTTGAGCCCCTCTGCTTTGATTCGGTGTCTCACCTAATCCGCATTCATAGAACGCGCCCCATGGTGGATCAATTTCAGCGACGCCATCGGCATCATCTCCTTCAAACGCGACGATCGATCGTCTGCATCGCTCACCCCAACCATTCCCTGGTATGGTACCCATCCATCCGCACTCACATTCGATGCCCCAATTTTGTCCCTTTTAATGTTGGGGATGGGGATCGACTTTACCTGTTGTGTGTAGATCAAGACCCTAAAGAAGATTGTCTCATTCGATATTTTTGCTCATGGATCTGGAATATATTTGCACGAAAGATGCAATGCAAAACAGCAAATAATCTTTGCAAAGAACACTGAAATTAAATGGATCTATGATCCATCTTAATTCTCTTTCTTCCTTGTTGCACGAATTGAGCTGACGGCTGTTTAGCTTACTAGATATAGCTTATTTGTGTCTATCATTTACTGATTCCAGTAAGGACCTTTTTGCCTAATATTTTTCTTACCAGTTCAGTTATGCATCTTACTTGTTTTTTATTTTCACGCATTTCAGGTGCCCACACCTTTTCTATTCTTCTTTTGCTTGTTTAATCTAATGGGTTGCTAGTGTGTTATTCATGTTGTTGTTATCTCCTAACTATCCTCAAACCAGAATAAAGAATCATACATACAATAGTAATTTGCTCTTTAATCAATCCAGTTCACTAATCTTTCTAAAATAAGTAAACATCTCGTAGCCATGGAATTATTGCTTAAGCAACACTGTAATGATAGGAAAGGTTATAAATAAATCTGAACTTACCTTTGTCATGCAAATATAATAGTTAGCCTTCATTTGTTCATCACTACTTTTCCTTTCCGATCCCTCCAATTTTGATTTATCATGTTCTTTCAACGCCTTTCTTTTTCTATATGCAATGCCAATATCTAGAAGCCATTTACGATGCCTGCTGTTAGAGAGCTGGGTTTGTTGTTTGGGACAACTATTTCAAACATTGGTGTGTAATCTATATAAGAATTGAAGATAATTTTTTTTCCTTATTTGTACAATTTGTGGTACCCTAATGGTACTTACCCTCTATTTTCACTTTTTATGCTCTGTTTTTGGACGCGCAATGCCCGGTTGCTGGGCTGCCACATCTTGATTGCACACACGTCGAATGCCAAGCTTGCCTTACTCAGATGGAGTCCTCCGGTACGTCAGGTCCCCTATACCCGCCTTAATCCCTTTCTCGTCCATCTTTTAAATTTAAATCCCCTAAACAGGAGGACATAGTATGCAGTAATGTCGGCAGTGTTTAGTAATTGGTGGATCAAGACCAATGGTATGATCACCATGCCATTGAGGAGGCCAGGAGGGGTCTGAACTTGCTAATCATCCTTGGGGCATGGATTTGGAAACATTGAAAAGTTTATATTTTTTTAATGGGGTTCGCCTGATGTGCTGTTTTTTTAATGGGCATGTATCTGACTTTTAAATTTGAGTATATTTCAATGAACATATATGTTGTAACATAACCTGTGTTTCCTCTTGGCCAAAAATAGACAACATAGCGGTTGGTAGGATGATGGAGGAAATCGGTCGGACTCAACAGGCGGAGGACCGAATCAGCAGAGGAAGTGTAGCGGAGGATATGCAGCAGCCCTCCCTCAACTAACAGTCGGTCACGCGAAAGCAGGCGACGTGGTATAGTGAAGTCACGGGACACAAAGGTGGATGTTAGTGACATAGGAGTTAAGGAATTAAATTTCTCAAGGAACTAGAATCCACTCTGCGACTTACCACTGAGAGTTATTCTTCAAGCTCCCTCGTCCAGAGGTGTCCTCGACATGATCAAGCTGTGGAGTTTTTTTTAATTTATTTTTATATGAATCAAGCTGTGGAATTCATAAAGCATCTCCTTTCTTGCCTCTTTGCTATAGATTTTTTTTCAAGTTGTCCCAAAGAGTAGGCCTACAGATTTTTTGTAACTATGATAAAATAGTACTATTTTTGATTTGCAGCATGGACTATTATTGTTGACAAGATATGTTTGTATTGATCAAATTGAAATACTATTTATAGTTTACATAATGAATTATTTTTGACAAGTAATTCATTATAGGGAACCTGGTATATAGCAATAAAATATGGCCAAATATATGCATCCTGAGGCCTAGCGAAAAAAATGATAACAAAAAAAAATCGGCCGAAAACAAAAAGAAATTGATCGGAATAGAAAAAATTGCTAACCAGCGAGAGTGCATCGGCCATAAACTCAGAAAAAATTGGCTAAACAGGCAAAAAAAAAAAAAAGATGGAAGCAAATAAAACCGAACAGATGAATAAAAAAACCAGCGCCCTCCTATCTCCGCTTACGTGGGCAGCGGGATGGCCTCGGTTACTGAATAATATTTATATATATATATATATATATATATATATATATATATATATATATATATATATATATATATATATATATATATATATATATATATATATATATATAAACGCCAAATTAAATGAATCGAAATCAAAGCAGATTTTAAGTTTTAAAGGTATCACAGTTCAAAAGTTTTAAAGGAGTCATAGAACACAGTTAAGTTTTAAAGGAATCATAAAACAGTAATGACCTGATGCACGTGTGCGATCGAAGAAGATCTCTTCGGTGGAGACCATGGTAAGCCGCGATCCGGCGGCCTCCTTAGCGGCGTCGCCAAACTTGGGCCACGAGCGGCGCTCGATGGCCCTCCTAGACCGGCGCACCTTGCGGACGCGCGTGGTGGTGGTGACCTTGACCTTGTTGCCCTCCTCGTCGATGTGGTACTCGATCACCTTCTTCATGCCGTTGGCGTCGGGCCCGACGACGACCGGCGGCGGGAGGAGCACGCCGAGGTCGAAGTCGCCGCCATCGTCGTCCAGGAGATCGCCCCACCGCTCCGTGTGCTGCTGCTGCTTCTGCATCGCCAATCCTCTCTCGGTTCGGTTCGTCGTCGTGCGGTTTGCTGCGCGCGTGCGTTAGGTTTTGGGGGTGCGTCGGCGATTGGAGATCGGATTATCGGAAGATGTTTGGGTCTTGAGATTGGGTAGTTTTGAAGCTTTTTGTAATGGGTCTCCCGCACGTACGGCGGCCTGGTCGTGGTCGGATTGTGACTTTGCGGGAGCACAAAATTACCCAATATACCTACGTCTACGTGGCTAGTCTTTCCAAATTTTAAGACATTTGACATAAAAATTTGTAAGACATTTCAGTTTTATATTAGATCAATCTTCTCTAAATTTGATCAAGTTGAAGAAATACCTGACAAAAATTATTTTGACTAAAAAAAAATTTTATAACTCTTTTAACACGGAATTGGTCAAATTATATGTAAGCTTAGTATATAAAATTTACATTAATAGATTAGTATTTAAAGTCTCTCTACGATGGTATTGACTTTTTAGTGTTCATGCAAATTAAGGATCAAATCGACTTTATATGGCTTTTCTATTATTAGTGAGCATTGGAGTACTGCAGATTGTGAAGTAATGGACATGGAGACATGTTTCGTAGAGTTCTATCTTGAGTATATTTATGTTTATAAATTTTCTTAGTTCTATATTCGTATACAGTTGATGCAAACACACTAAAATAGTGTGGCAGTTGGTCATCGAGTAGAGTTACCAACAATCAGGGTTCAAATCACATCTTGTACAAAAATATTCCCTGTCATCGTTCTTCCTAAAAAGAGTGTCAGGGGACCGGCAAGGCAATGTGGTAACGGTGCGGTCTTAGATACTGGCAAGGTCGAGGGGCCTAGGTTATGATGACCTGCACGCTGTTGCCCTATAGGATGAGACAGGGTTTTTTGGTCGGTTTTACTATGATTTCTTCTTAATATACAGATGAGACAGGGATTTTTCTTTGGTCGGTTTGGTGTGAGAGAAAAACACTATGATTTCTTCTTAATATAAAGTCGTAGAGGCTCTCCTTCCCCACCAGCCAAATATTTCGTAAGTAAAATAATTGAAAATTCATGTTTTATAAGACCTTTAAGTTAAATAAAAAGGCCGCAGTCAAATAGAATCGAGCGCTATTTAAATACCTTGATAAGCACGGTGCTTTATTTATTAAATTAATACTACAAATTAACATATATATAGCTCTATGGCACTTGTACCATATTATAGTAGATAGTAATATGCACATTCTTATATGCAAAACCTAGATTTATTTACTATGTCGGCACATGCATACATAGTCAGTAAGACCATGTTTGGAATGCGGGAAAAAAATTTGTTCTTGCTTTTTTCGGAAAATTGAACTGATTCCTATAAAATTTTGCATGATTCTTGTGAAATTTCTAAGTTCCAAACATGCCCTAATAAGTGATGGAATGGAAACACTTGGATTCAAATGGATGTGTGAGAATAATGTTTTATTATGAGATCAATGTTTTTTCTTGTCTTAAAAAGAAAATTTTAAAACTTTGAGACCAATGTTTGGTCAGATATGTTGCGTTGAGGGCGTCCTATTGTCCGGACATCCCCATCGCGGACCACGACTCCAGCCCAATGGCTCAACAGTCATATCCTCTTCAACAATCGGAAGCATCCGTTCTCCAGAAGGCTTCCAACCCTCGGGCGCTTTCGTTCCGCAGCGCCATGACCACACTCCGTCGTGTCGCCTTGGTGTTCTCCATGACATTCGAGTGCCCGCCGGCCAGTATCTCCACCATGCCCGAGCGTGGTAGCCACCTTCCTCCATCTCCATCGCGCCTCCAACCCGCCGTGGTCGCCCTCCTTCCTCCATCTCCGTCGCATCTCCCGCTCGCGGCCATCTCCAGCGCGCGGACGACCTTCTCCACCGGAGCGGTGACAACTCACGCCAGATCCATCGCGCCCTTCTCCACCGGAACGGTGAGCTCCGCGCACCGACGAGCTCTACACCGGTGAACTCCACACGCCGATGAGCCTTCATTCCCAAGCAGCAAGGAGATGTTGCACTGAAAGTGCATGTTGTAAACATATGTTTCGTGTTTCAGATTTTCAGAGGTATGTTGCAAGTGTTTTGTATCAATGTTGCAAAAGTAGATTGAGATGTTGCAAAAGATAGATCTGGATGTTGTACATGTTGCAATGCTATGCACGCATGTTTCAAGAGTATGTTCCAAATGTTTCATCTGTATCAGACGTATGTTGAAAGTGTTTTTATTTGAATGTTGCAAAAGTAGATCTAGATGTTGCATATACATGCATGTTGCAAGCGTATGTTTAAAATGTTTCAGGTGTTTCATATGTCTGTTGCAAGTGTTTCATCTGGATATTGCATATGTTTGCAATTGTTTTTCAGGTGTTTTTTCAAGTGTTTCAGACGCATGTTTCAAGTGTCTTATCTGTCTTATTTTGTGCAACTGTTACATCTGGATGTTTTAAAAGTAGATCGGGTGCTACACATGGGATATGCATGGAAACAACTGGCGACGTGGACCCCTCGCTAGGACGCTCGCTTGCAAGTCCGACGCGCTTGTCCAACGCTAGCATCCCCGGACATGGAACGTCCGGCGCTATCAAGTCCGTTGCTTTGGTCTTGCGTGGGAATGGGATGGCTCGGATCAGGTACGGATTGTGGAGGACTGGAGGCCGTTGATGGGCTATAGTAGGGCCTATAGCGTATGGGCCGGTACATCTGAGGCTTTTTCTGCTGGCGGCATTCGTTCAGCAGTCTGGAGAAGAGAGAATACGGAGAAAATCACAAACTGGGCCAGTGCAGGCCTAGGTAGGCCTATGTCGTTTATGGGTCCGTGTCAGTTCTCTAGCCGTCTAGCGAGAGCAGCTGAGATGAGGAGCTTCCTATGCGCGTGTAAACGGCTAAACGCCCATGCAAATTTTAGCTGACGAAATGAGTGGCGTCATGTTCATTCTGGCGGATACCTGCTGACTAGCAACTTGTCATCTGTAGTGTCCACAAGTTCTCGTCTCTTTGCATTCTTCGAGAAGGATTCTTGATCGGACGGCGAAAGCTTACCGACTACCGGCTACTCGTACTCTTCTTCTAGGCGTCAATGCAAACGAACGTTCCGGTCTTCCAGACTTGCAGTTGCAGAAGGATTTTGTCGGTCCATGGAGATCTAGAAAAAGATGACGTCGACGTCGTTGGCTCCTGTGTGTCTGATGTGATGAGTGATGACTACTGCGGTCCCCAGCCCCGGAGCGGGCCTTCGCGATCTCCGCCCGCCCGTCCCAACGGTTCAATTCAATTCGAAGCGGCCCAAGCAACCAAGACGCCCGCCGTCCTGGCATCCGCCCCTCCCCCTCGTCATCAATTCAAACAACAAGGACCTTCCTTTTCCACCACCCAAGCCGCGGCGGGCAGCGTGTGCCGTCTCCCTCTCCCCGTCGCTCCGTCCCGGTCCCCGCGGTCACCACGTTCCTCCATATACTCCACACGGTGACCTGTAGCGTGGGGTAGGCGTGTGGCAGTGCTTGCATTGCTGGCTTGCTGCCACCCAATGCCCCCGGGCCACGGCAAGCATGCACGAACTTGTTCCACATCTTACATGGCATTGTTTCAAATCGTCGTGCACTGTACTGGTGTTCATGTAATCACGTTATTCAAAACCCATCAATGGAAACTGATATCTATTCTGTACTATGAAAAGATTGAGTGTAGACAAGACGATGATATAAACGAAAGACAAACATTGTGCTCCCTCCGTACAAAAAAAAGTTAGGCTCAAGGGGATTGTATTGCTACGTAATCCTTATAGCTAGCGTTAAGATGGATGGCAAGTGTTTTGCATTGATTGGTGTACGTGTACATAGAGGGGTAGCCATGGAAGATCGAGTGAATCCAAAGACGCATTGCGTGTAGTGCAGGACCGAGCATCAGTCTCGGTTGGAAAACCCTCTTTAGTTTCGATTTTTCAATCGGGATTGCGAATCCGGGACTAAAGTCCCCCTAGTCCCGGTTCTAGGAACCAGAACTGGAAGTGAACCTTTAGTCCCGGTTGCTATTACCAACCGAGACTAAATGTCTCCGCCAGACATTGCACCGGGGTGGCACGTTTAGTCCCGGTTGGTGTTTCCAACCGATACTAAAATATTTCTTTTTTTTATTTCATTACTTTTCATTTTATGGTTTCTTTTCAATTCAATTCTTTTTTGTTTCGATTAGCTTTTCGTATACGAATTCCTACGCTGCTAACATACATCCATATATACGTATACATAAATAACACACTAAAATGTATGAAACTATATATATACAAATATGCATGCATGCATTTCTTGCAACCCTAATCTTCCTCCAACGTTTGGCTACTAGGTATGAATTTATAGGGTCATAGAAGTGCGCACCCTTGGGATCTATGACCTGCTTAAAAGAAATCCTGACAATGTCTCTTGAATTGCTTTGATCTGGTCACATCGCAGGACATTTCGTTTCCTCCATTCAATCTTCAATTCGAATGAAAGCAAAAGTATGAATATATATATATATATATATATATATATATATATATATATCTCAACACAATGGTAATAAATAAATTGTGTATATTTTTTACGTACTTCGAGGATCTCTTCACTTGTTCTCCTTAGTACTCCATGAGGAACTCGCAGACGTAGTATCCACATAAGTTGTTCCCTGATCCCTGCTGTAGACACCACTTTACAAGAAAAAGATTCATCATCAACCAATGAAGCATGGTAATAATAAATTGAACTAAATAAAGATGCGGTGACCTAGATAGTACTTACTGGGTATTGGACTATATGCAAAGGCACTTCCCAATTACCATAATGGTGTTTCTCGACGAACGTTTTCCAAGCATTGCTCAACAAAAAAAAATAGAGTTATATCATTAAAATGGCATAAGAGAGTATACAGTGTGTGCGAGACCGAAATTACCACTGGAGTATATCGAGGATTTCTTGCTAATCTTCTCGGGGTTTTGTCGCTGAGTCAAAGATTTTTACATGAC